AGTAAATAATCATTGTGCAATACAATAATAATAGCACGTCACGTCACAATAACTTCGTAGATGTATCAAGGTTCTCATATTTATATATGATATATGAGTCTCCTACACAATGATGATATATATTCTTTTATCAGTTAGCATATGTCAGTAATCACTATTTGTTTGATGTAATTGACCACAGCTGGTGGGCAGTTTTATTGTCTGTCTGATGCATCAAAATAACGACAGCCATCATTACATAGAAAGATCACACTGTAAATCTAAAATAGCTACTGATATACAAAAATATTACCTTATTCCTTATATCATATTTCTACTGCAACGTTGTAATCGACGGTGAGCATCGGTCTGGACAAGACCAGGTTGAATGTAAAGCGTTCCCAGACTGAATGAGTTGACATATCTCGATACTCACATTTTGCGACACACATATATTTCTAAACTTTCAAAAGGTGGACCATATTTTGCGACAAGTTTATATTTCTAAACTTACAAAAGATGAACCACATTTTACGACACACGTATATTTCTAAACTTACAAAAGATGGACCACATTTTACGACACACGTATATTTCTAAACTTACAAAAGATGGACAACATTTTACGACACACGTATATTTCTAAACTTACAAAAGATGGACCACATTTTACGACACACGTATATTTCTAAACTTACAAAAGATGGACCACATTTTACGACACACGTATATTTCTAAACTTACAAAAGATGGTAGACTAACTCTTGCATCTAACTAATGCAACGGGGTTGAAATCTCCGTGGTAACGTAACATTGTACAGATTAGTGCACAAATTCAATAATTATTTGATACATTCTAAATAACATATCATATGACAAATCGCAAATCACAGATTAGTCCCAGGTCGTTGATATATGAATTATAATGCAAAGATGAATTCATGTTTTACTATTTGTTCAGGTTCGAGTACGCTTTTGCGCTTTTCAAGCAGCCTGTCTTTTTCTCACTGGTATAGCATGCCGTCATATTGATTAATAAGCCATGTGCGTAAATCTAGCTCTCTCATTGGTTAAAAATGCAGACGCATTCGGTGGAAGGAAATCCGCACCTATATCGCACCACTCTTATATCCATGTTTCAACAAGTTTAAGCCTATGAAATATTTTTATCTGAACAAAACTGAAAAATCTATTCATTAAATAGCAGGGCTTGCATGTCAGACCATCGTCCTGTCCATTACACTTGAGCGGGCGTGCAAAACAACAATAACACATAAAATGTATTATTTGGTTGATTTATTTATTTATTTATTTATTTATTTATTTATTTATTTATTTATTTATTTATTGTTTTGTCAGAATATAAATATTATGTACAGTTGCTACACCTATAAATTGCATTACACAAGTGTAGTTACATACAAGGGGAAAAAGTCAGATTGTTAAACTGTGAGCAGCGCCATTAGATTGATCGTAATTCGATTAGGCTGTCCTTAGTTAATTTCTTAATAGCTTCGACCGCGTTTCAGTTCTGAGATCGGTATTACAAATGAAAACTGTAACGTGAATAAATGGAATAATCTTGGATGTTAACGGATGATATTCATATACTTCCATATAAGATCTAGTTTTCTGTCATCTTCAATTTCAGGAAGGTCATTATAAAACAATGCGTCTTTACCAACTCCTATTCGATCTAGTTTAACGAACTGAGACCAATAAGACTGGGACCAGCCAAGAAATATATCAGCTCCTAAAAATACCAACACAATGATGCATAAATAAATGATACTTGTATCAATAGCAAATAGTGTGTAAATAAAATGTTACTTGCATCAATGTAGCAATATGCAAATATATTTTACTTGCATCAATGTAGCAATATGCAAATATAGTTTACTTGCATCAATGTAGCAATATGCAAATATATTTTACTTGCATCAATGTAGCAATATGCAAATATATTTTACTTGCATCAATGTAGCAATATGCAAATATATTTTACTTGCATCAATGTAGCAATATGCAAATATAGTTTACTTGCATCAATGTAGCAATATGCAAATATAGTTTACTTGCATCAATGTAGCAATATGCAAATATAGTTTACTTGCATCAATGTAGCAATATGCAAATATAGTTTACTTCATCAATGTAGCAATATGCAAATATAGTTTACTTGCATCAATGTAGCAATATGCAAATATAGTTTACTTGCATCAATGTAGCAATATGCAAATATAGTTTACTTGCATTAATGTAGCAATATGCAAATATAGTTTACTTGCATCAATGTAGCAATGTGCAAATATATTTTACTTGCATCAATGTAGCAATATGCAAATATATTTTACTTGCATCAATGTAGCAATGTGCAAATATATTTTACTTGCATCAATGTAGCAATGTGCAAATATATTTTACTTGCATCAATGTAGCAATATGCAAATATATTTTACTTGCATCAATGTAGCAATGTGCAAATATATTTTACTTGCATCAATGTAGCAATGTGCAAATATATTTTACTTGCATCAATGTAGCAATATGCAAATATATTTTACTTGCATCAATGTAGCAATATGCAAATATAGTTTACTTGCATCAATGTAGCAATGTGCAAATATATTTTACTTGCATCAATGTAGCAATATGCAAATATATTTTACTTGCATCAATGTAGCAATATGCAAATATAGTTTACTTGCATTAATGTAGCAATATGCAAATATATTTTACTTGCACCAATGAAGCAAAATGCAAATATATTTCCGTTATTACTGGAGTTAATTTCAAGTGTCCACGGTGTATTGTGGGTAACATGGAATTGTGGGATTGTTACTTACTAAAACATATTTCTTGCTCCAAGAGTGAAAGTAGATATAAACTATTTTTGAAAACTTTTACATCCGGGTCGTTGTCATGAAGCAGTGTGGCTGTGTTATAAATATTGCTTATCAATAACGAGGAAGAGAAGTAACTTATAATTTTCTAGAAATAAAATCAAAATAAACATTAGGTAATAAACAGTAATAGTAGAACACATGGCAAAATAATTAAAGGAAGATACCTGCTTCATGCAAATTTGAATAGGCTTAGAACATTGTAGGGTCAGAGAACTACTAGTTAATGATTTTAGCACAACATCAGTAATATTAAACATATTTTATCCAATAACCACACAATATTTGCATCATATGCACATGACATGTATTACGACAAAGGAAAAGATGAACCACAGTCGACATATCGTTACAAACTAAGAAAAGCAATGTGAGTGCAATAAACATTACTATGCCACGATTTGATTGGCCTCTATTTCAGATGGTTTAACAGAACAAAATAAATTACATTTTAAAGCATTTGTAGACGAGTTAATGTTCTGGAAAAGTGCACAACTGGAAGATATGATTATATTTTTTTATGTTATGTCACAATAAACACTGTGCATATCTGTCAAGCTATATAAAAAATTAAACATTAACATTTAAGTATTGTACTGGACATACTAAATGAGTGTCAATTGGTCACATTGAATTCAATATCAAAGTAATGCCAATGGTTCTGGTCATTGTCACTGGCTCCGTGCGTAATTTGGTAATGGTAAATGATATTAACTCACGTCAGAATGAACTGGGTGTGCTATATATAGACATTTCAATTTGTATTTGTTCATAATATTCTTTACAGCTGAGCTGATAATTTCCGCTGACTCATCAACTTTCTTCATTAAATCGACACATTCGCGTGCATCAAAATCGTACGTACACCTAAAACAAACATGAATATTAATAGCCATTGTATGAAAAGTAAAATATCAGTTAAGTAGATACATTTCTGGAGTTCGCTTTTTATATCCCGTGCTATACGTGACATAATGACATTACATTGATCGAATGGATATTTTGGATAAAACAAGAGAAAATGCACAAACAAACAAACATGTATTTCATTATCGCCATTCGTATGAGAACATTGTGAAATGCCATGTTTTACATTATTATTTAATTCCCCTAATCTGCATATTGTTTTGGACATTAAATCCACTGGGAAACATAAAGATGAGGAAGTAAACCAAAAAGATAAGGTATGTAAACATTACTGCTGACGTCTGCTTGTCTCGGCGTATAGTAACACGTGCAAATATGTTTTATGTTGCTATCATATAATAAAGCATAGAATCCATTATTGAGCTGTGGAAGTTCAGTATTGCTATGATGATATATAAAGGTTCCCGTGAATACACCCGGCTTCACGAAGGCGTGAATGTGATTTATGGATATTTATAAAACATTTATCTAAAAGATTCTCGCGCTTCTTTCAAATCCATAGCTGTATAACGTCCATTACCCATGAGTCTTTGTTAGTTTGTTAGTTTAAAGTTGTTTTCAAGCGCCATTTAAAAATTTATAAACATTTATAAATATTTTATATAAGAAATTTACGCCTTTATGGTGTGGTAAAGTTCACAAACACAAATATTTACAGCTTCTGAACAAAACGAAATAACTAAATTGATAACTAACCGTTCACCTGTTCTGTTCCGCCAGTGCATTGCTAAAAAACGACCATCACACATCTTGTTCACCACTTTATCTGCCATTTTAAGTACGGGCGGCGCCCTCACTAGGTGGCTATGCACATCAGACAAATCGAATTGTTCGTTTGAATCCAAATATTCCATTGGATCATAAAATGCTACGCAGTCATAGTCACGTGAACTTTCCAACCAATCAACACTGGTAATTTCCGTGTTCAATGTTGTATAACTCGGCAGGTCAAGTCCATGTAATCGATGGAGCAAATCCCGGGACGATTCGTACATTCCCTTATAGAGGAAAAAGTCTCTCCAATACACTACGTGAATCCGGCCATTGCACTGCGTTTTGAAATCATCCATTGTTGCAACTGACACAAACTCTCTGAATTTATCGACATCAAATGTAATTTCCCAAGGTCTCATTGTTCTAGCTATATATCCTCTATCGTTAGCACCAGTATCAAAGAAAGGTATGAGTACAACACTATAGTTGTATTGCTTGGCAAGTACAGCAGCACTCAGAAATGTTTTGTATTGTACATTACTGCCATAGCCTATTCTATTCACTAAGAACGGTAGCATCAAACGAGTAATTTTCTTCGATGAAACAATGTCAATTTCATCTGTCATCTTGTCAATGTGAAAAAAGATTCATTAGATTAGACAGTATGAAAGAGCATACGAGGCGCGGAATGTAAATTTATTATTTTGTGTGTACTAGAAGAAAACGTGCTAATAATTCAAAATTACGTACTTAAGGAGGCCGTGGCGTGTGTGTTTTAAAATGATGTGTGCATTTTAAAAAACGACGTGACTGTGCGTTTTAATGGTATGTGCTTTAAAAAATCATGTGTGTATATTAAATGGCGTGGGTGTTTTAAAAAACGTGTGTTTTAAAAATGACGCGTGAATTAAAAATGATGTGTGTCTTAAAATGACGTGTGTGTTTTACAATTATGTGTATTTAAAAAAACGTGTGTGTTTAAAAGGACATGTGTATTTTAAAAATAATGTGTGTTTAAAAACATAACGTGTGTGTAAAAACGATGCGTGTGTTTAAAAACGACGTGTGTGTTTTTAAAAATGGCGTGTGTTTAAAAACGACGTGCGTGTTAAAACAATGACGTGTGTGTTTTTAAAAATGGCGTGTGTTTAAAAATGACGTGTGTGTTTAAAAATGACGTGTGCGTTTAAAAATGACGTGTGTGTTTTTTAAAATGACGTTGTGTTAAAAACGACGTGTGTGTTAAAAAATGACGTGTGTGTTTTTAAAAATGGCGTGTGTGAGGTCGAATGAAAACTTCGTGTGTGTAAAAAGAAAAAAACGCGTGGATTAACTTATTTACGCCTGTGGGGGCGCTGTTTTGAATAGATTTTTTTTTCGTGTGTGTGTGCAAAAAAACGCGTGCGTTAACTCTTTTACGCCTGTGGGGGCGCTATTTGAGAGATTTATTTCGTTTGTGTGTTAAAATAAAAAAATCGCGTGCATTAACCTATTCACGCCTGTGGAGGCGTCCTCTCAAGTGGTAGCCATTTTCGTTTGTGAATTTTTATAACGTCAATAAAGAAAAGAAAATTCCTATAACGTCAATAAAGAAAAGAAAATTTCTATAACGTCAATAAGGAAATAAAAAGGAACTTGTCCAGCACGAACGTTTTATTCATTTTGCCCTATAAATTTACCGACACTGTGT